TATATATATATATATATATATTTATTTATTTTTTTTGAAAAGCCGAAGGGCTGATTTTATTGAAATAAAGAAGATACATGAAGGTTGTATCAGAGGGCCCAATAGAGACACCCTACCCATACGATACTCAGTATAGTAATATCCCAACTAAAAGATACATATAAACTCAAAAAATAAAAAATTTGCAGAAAACAAGTAGCTGTGGATGAGCCAGTTTAGTCCTGCCCCTTCCTTTAGTTTTAGGAGCGGAGTCAGATAACAAACTTTGAAGTGTTGGGCCATTGCCCAGAGTAACCAAAATATCATCCATTAAGTTTCCAAGTTGGAGTGTGTCCCCAATCTTCTTCTTCCGTCGAGAAGTTTAAACCTGCCATTCTTCATCAGAAGACTGACTCATGTGATCCTTGGTCTGATTAGATATTAGAACCGCAGTAGAATGAAAGACAGTCGTTGCTACAACGATTGGTTCCAGTGTATGTGAAGTATGAATTGTCACCTCTGCACTTGATGCTTTCTGAATCGTAGCTGCGGGGTTATCCTGATTTTCGTTCTGAACATTATCCATTGTAGTATGGTCGGGAGAGGGTTTTCAGGGGCAGACACCAACTCCTATCTTGTGGTGATTCCCTCCTCAGGTTGGCTGTTATCAGGTTTGTTGGGAGCGCAGACACGTGTGGTGCACTAACAACTTGTTCTTGCTTTTGACTATTAGTTCTCAACTGTGGATGCAATCTAAAACATTTCTCTAGTGGGTGTTCAAACATCTTGCAGTGCTTACAGTAGTAAAGTTTTTGTTCCATAATGATTTTTTGCCAATAACCATTGTGAGCACTGCCGTTGAGGAGCATAAGCACTTATAATATTAAAAATTTTAATATCAATGATAATCTTAAGGGCTATAATTCTATCACCAACTCTATTAATTTTTACAAGATTATCTTTCAAACTCTTATCTATAATTACACCTACACCATTTCTAGTGTCTCTTACCAGAATACCAAAGTTTAAAACTTAAATTATTAATCTCCTTAGCCTTTTCTCCAACCCACTTAGTTTCTTGAATACATAAGATAATAGTTTTCCTATGAATCATAATATCAACTAATTCCATTAATTTACCATTGAGAGTGCCTATATTCCAAGATTCTATCATAATATTAGTTTCATTAGTTTCATAGACTAACTTCTTTACCCGTATTCGCCCGTAATATGAGAACCCTTGCTTATTTAACACTACACCCGGGCGCCGATGTAGCGGCCCTTGCACACTTTTCACTGTATTTAAGCTATACAGCGCGTCTCTTCCAGGGGACGCCCTAGCACTTACACAATGATCAAAAGGATTTATATCATGATTTTTTTCGACAAGTTTTACGCTGGTTGTCGACTACCTAACACAACCCTCCACTTTTCGCATCCGTGCTTGGGACCGGCAACGACAGTGTTAAAGAAGTGGAGGAATGCTTCGGGCCTTTTGTGTGATAGAAAAGTACCGCTTAGACTG